GCAAATTTTAATGGAAGATTTGGGAATTAGAAGAGTCGCTGGAATTTTTGTGCCTCAGGTTGTGACTGATTGGGAAAAAGAGCGTCGACTGGAAGCATGCCGTGCTCTGAAAGAACAGCTCTGAAGCGACCCAGACCTTTCCCCCAAGGTCATTACTGGTGACAAGACATGGTGCTATTCTTTTGACCCCTAAAGCAAATGAAGATACCATCATCCCCCCACCCCCAAAAAACTCGTCAGGTGAAATCAAAGATTGAGACAATGCTCATTTCTTTTTTTGATGTGAGGGGGATAGTGCATTTGGAGTTCATTCTACCAGGTCAGACTGTTAATCGAGCTTTCTATTCAGAGGTTCTGAACAGATTGCTTAACAGTGTGTGACCAAAAAAGGCCTGATTTGTGGCAGATGGGGGACTGCTTTTGCCACCATGACAATGCACCTGCTCACAAAGCCACCTCAGTGCACCAGTTTTGGGCAAAAATCAACATGCCTCTCTTGCCCCACATCCCTTACTCACCTGACCTCGCTCTATGCAACTTCTTTTTATTTCTGAGGATGAAGAGGGACATGAAAGGATGGCAAATTGATGACATAGAAGAGATGAAGAAAAAAACTAGGGAGGTGCCATCAGCCATCCAAAGAGATGAGTTTGAAAAATGTTCCCAAGAATAGAATTGCAGATTTGACAAATGTTTTAAGTGTAATGGAGAGTACTTTTAAGGTGATATGGTTGTTTTGTAAAAAAAAACACACACACAAAACAACAACATTAAATACATAGCTTTGAAAACAATTCCATTTTGGAGGGGTTATCCCCTCATAGCTACATTAAAATGTAACACTTTATCATTTGATCTTCTTTTTTGACCCATTTTGTTTGTTGTACTTTTTAACTTTTTCTACTCTTTTCAATTGAGGTTTTTTTTATCTTACTTTGTTATTGCTGTGAGTTTTCTTTTTAGAAATGTTTTTCTGCATATGAAATCTAGGACATGTAAATCTATAAACACAGTCACTGGATCAATGGTTCCTTGAGGGGACGCTGGGAGGAAATGGAGAGCTAATAACGATGAGCACAAGAATGAAGGACCGTTGTAAAACTGATTGTGGTGATGCCTGTACAACTCTTCTTGATGTGATGGAACTATTGAAATGTAGCCTATGTGCATACTATACCATAAAATTGTTTAAAAGAAAGAAACTCTGGTGTACACACAGTGGAATATAATGCATGCTAAAATAAAAGAAGGCTGAAACCACAGAGCACCTCCTGGCATGGATGGACCTGACAAACATCATGCTGGGTACAACTCGTTCATCACAGAAGGACACATATGATCTGAGACCAATGTTATGGGAGCGGGGGTAACAAAATAAAGACGTTCATACCAAAGGGAACAGACCTTGGAGATTGCCAAGGAGGCCGGAGAGGGCAAGTAAGGGACAATAATGCAATGGGCTGGACTGTCGATGGTGTTAATGTGGGGGAACTGGAAGCTAGTGGTCCTCAAGCAGGAGAAATCAAGGGGCAGGTGAAAGGTGAACTGTTGGGGGTTGGTTAGTAGTTTAAACTGTTGAGTTCAAAGTTGATGATCTGAATGTAAACCCTCACCTAACTTACAATTTGAAGGTGTTATTTTAACAATGACTACTGGTCTTTATTCTGCTAATTTTATACTGTTTTTTATTAAGCTCTAAACAAATACAATCAGATGTATTTATTAAAAATATGTTCATACCTTGTAGCTTGTGTTTTCACTTAGGTGAGGAGAAATTCTTAATTATAAGTCACTTTCACAATGTTTTCCTTCAGAGTTAGTGTTTTTTAATTATTATTTGGGGGTGTTTTTTTTTGGGGGGGTGAGGGGCTGGTCCAAATTAGGAATCTTACATATTTAGGGGTGTGTTTTTTGGGGGGGCGAGGGGCTGGTCCAAATTAGGAATCTTACATATTTGCCTGTGTTATCTCCTAGGAACATTATATTTTTGTCTTTCACACCTAGATCCACGATCACCTAGAATCGATTCATGTGTACAGTGTGAGGGTAGGGGTCATGACTTATTCATTAAGGATATTTTGACTCCAAACCATTTACGATGAAGTGTTTGCCCAGCTTACGTAGAGCCACTTGTGTCTTACATGCATACATATGTGGACATGTTTGAGTCTGTTTCAGGACTTTCTGCTTGCTCTTTCCTGCTCCTCCTAGTAGACATCACATGCTTTTAGTTACTATGGCTCTAGTGTGAACTAGTCCTCTTACCTGTCCTTCTTGCGAATTTTAAAAGCAAATTATCCTTCTATGGAAAAATACCTCCTAGGATTTTTGTTATGCTGTCATTATAGTTTCATAAGGGGACTGGCATGTTCATTATATTGTCCTAGAGCAGTGGTTCTCAACCTTCAGAATGCCGAGACCCTTTAATACAGTTCCTCATGTTGTAGTGACCCCGTATGTGGGCGTATCTGCATGTGGGCAGACCCGCCTGGAGACGGATAGACCAGTGGTGTCTCGGTTCTTTAGACCATCGGAAATATGGTCTTAGGTGACCCCCGTGAAAGGGTCATTGACCCCCCAAAAGTGGTCGTGACTCCCAGGTTGAGAACGGCTGTCCTAGAGTTTTAGAAACAAGAGCATTCCTTTGTTAATTCCTCAGTATTCTTTCAGTGTTTTTGATATAGCCAACTTGTGCTTATTCATTACATATTCATACGTTTTATATTTTAATGCTGTTGGTGTCTTAAAGTTTTCTTCTTAAGACTCCTTGTAAAAATCCAATGGTATTTCCTTGCATTTAAGTGCCATCATATCTAGCAATCTGTAAATGCTTTTGACTTTTCTCTGTATGCATCATCAGCAAATAAAAATTTATTTTCTGATCTTTTTTTCCTTCTTCTGTTTCTTACCCTGTTGCATCAGCTAGCACTACAGTAAAATAGAGATGTTCTTGTTCCTCATCTCAGAAAAAGAAAAAAAAAGCCATGTTGCCATTAAGATGATCTTTGCTGGAGGTTTTAAGATGCCCTGGAATGCCTTATGGAAATTCTCCTATAGTATGCTATCAGTTGTGTAAAAGTATTATATATATTGGTGTCTGTGTATCCACCACGAAGCCCTGGTGATGTACTGCTTACATGTTGGGCCACAGTGCCAATGGTCAGCAGTTCAGAAGCACCAGCAGCTCCGAGGGAGAAAGACTGGGCTTTCTATTCGAGTAAACAGTTAACAGGCTCTGAAATTCACAGGGGGCCACTGTGAGCCAGCATGGACTCGATGGCAGTTGAGTACAAAGATTGCTTTTTCAACCTGTACCTGTGTATTTTTAAGTAAATTAATCCAACTGCCATTGAGTCTATTTCGACTCGCGGTGACTCCCTGCTTTTCAGAGTAGAACTGTGTCCCATGGGGTTTTTTTCAGTGGCCCTGACCTTTCAGAAAGATCCTTGTGTGGAACAAATGGTTTGCAGTTGACTACTAACCTAAAAGTTGGTGGTTCAAGCCTGGTCTGGCTATCAAAGATCACAGCCAAGAAAACACCAGGGAGCAGGTCTTTCTTCCAAGGTGCCCCAGAGTGGGCTCGATCTGCCAACCTAGCATGAGTAGCCTAGTGCTTAACCATGCGCACCACTCAGGGACTTCTTTAAGTATATATCTCACACTTCAAAATATCTTTTGACAATTTAAAGGTTAAAGTTTTAGTTGTGATATTTAGTACTTTTTTTTTTAAACTAGAAGACCAAACTCAGCCGTTCAAATACACCAGCCTCTCTGCAGGAAAAAGATGAGATTTTCTAGCCCCAGTGGCATAGTGGTTACGCATCAGGCTGCCAACTGCAAGGTCAGCAGTTGGAAACCACTGGAGCGAGAACGCCGAGGTGTTCTACTCCAGACAGTTGTGAAAACAACAGGGCCGTTCTACCCTGTGCAATAGGGTCGCTATGGGTCAGCAGACTCAACGTCAGTGAGTGTGGTCTGGATGTTTGGAGAGGGTTGCAGTCTCGGAAACTCACAAAGGCAGGTCTACCTGGCTGGATGGCAGTAAGTTTGGGTTTTTGGTTTCAAGAAAAGGTACACAATTAGAAAATAAGGATATTTGGGAAATAAACTTAAGACTGTTCATATGGATATTCCATCCTTCAAAAACAAAACAAAAAACTGGTGTGGATAAAACAAATACCTGTAGTTTTCATTTCAGTAGAGTGAAGCTATGCAGGGTGGAGCCTTTAAAATTGCATTGTCCACTGGCCTTCTTGCTCCAAAGACACTCGCTTCAGAGGTTGGCTCTTTCTTGGAGATGAATTTAAGTTAAAATTACAAGAGAGCCATACAAGATGAGTGAGAAAAGGTCTTTTTCATTATTCTGAAAGCTTTTATCTACATGTGAGCAGCATAATGAGAAATAAGAGAACGGATTTAGAATCTATACTTTAGTTTATATGGGAAATGAAGTAATTTTTAAAACCTCTGTAAACTTTATTTTTCTCCTATGATGCCAATCATACCTTCAACTTCCAACGTTATTACAGCATTATCCGAGTCAACATGTAAAATTCTCAGCCCTGCCCTAACATAAAGAAGTCCCTGGTGCTTTGGGATAAGCATTGGGCTGCCAACTCCAAGATCAGTGGTTCAAACCCACCAGCCACTCTATAGGATGGAGATGAGGCTGTCTGCTTCTTTAAAGACTTACAGTATCCGAAACCTGAGAGTCAGAATTGACTGGATGGAAGCAGGTGGGTCTTAGCATAGAAGTCTTAAAATAAATGCTAACCTCTCCATTTTCTGGGAGAAAGATGGGGCTTTCTAGTACCATCAAGTGTTCAGTCTCAGAAACTCAGAGGCGGTTCTATCCTGCCCTATAGGGCTGCTACGAGTTGGCATCGACTAGTTGGCAGTGAATTGGGTATTTTGGTTTTTCTCCCTTTGCTGGCCAACCTTATAGGGAACTATAGATAATATGGTACTGCTTTGAATTGTTTTAGAAGAAAACCAGTAAATAAGATAGTTGACAGTTTTATTTAATACTTTACCTGAATAACTGATTCAAAAGCAAATGCTCATCAGGATTTTTAAAGTTGCATAAAAGGAAAATAATAGGGAATGTAATGATGTGTTTGCAAAATTTATTTATGTTGGGCCAAGTTCATTAAACTCTAAAAAACAAAAGTCCTAAGACTTTGGATCCTGGAGCTTTAAAAAATGGCAGTTGAGATTAACACTGTCCTTAGAGTCATCCTTAAAGGAAGTCATCCCATTTCCTTTGTTTCTTGAGATGTAGCTTTAACAATGATACATTGATAGAAACGTCACATGACACATGGAATAACCATCAAAAGGCCAATCTGTCATAATTAAACAATTTGAGAATTAACATATTCAGCTATTGAATTATGAAACTACATAACAAATACAAATTCGTTAACTTTCAAAATGGAACAAAGAAACAGTATTAATAAAGACTGGTCTTTTTCATCATTCTCAAAAATTCTTCCTCATTTATTTCCCCATCGCCATCACGATCAGCTTCATCAAGCATCTCCTGTAAAATACAATGTACAGATAGGAAATTATTTAAAAGATCGATATACTGAATACACAAGTATTCAGTTACATACTTAAAATCAAGTGTATTTAAGAGCACAGCTAAAGAAAGAATATTACTATAATAACGCACATTTATCGAGTTCTATACAACCACAAAAAAGCAAAATTTACCTGAAGTTCATTGTCTTTTAAGTTTTCTCCTAGTTCCTTAGCAACCCTCTTGATATTACTTAGTGTTATGCTTCCTGTATCATCATCATCAAATAATTTGAAAGCCTTCAATATTTCTTCTTTTTCATCTTTTTCACTCTTTAAACAAACACACCAAAGAAAAGTTAAATGGCATTAGTCTTTCATTTATTTATTCTGCCAAGGTAGACTTACTAGATCTTTGCAATCTAGGAGCGCAACATCACAGGTTGCCGTGAGTTTAATTCCTGTTGCTCTGATTTTTAACAATTGTTTTAACACCCTCACGTCAACCCTCACTGCATTTAAACTCAAAGTTTACTGGCATTTACAGTCACGGGGGTGGTAGAAAGACTGCATTCTTTATTGACTCCAGGAACGCAGAGCCACAACCAGACATGCAAACTCCAAGAGAAGAGCGAGCTTGCTGCTCCATTTACTACTTCATCTCCGCAAGTGCCTGATGAGAACGGCACTCCATTTTTGCCAAGTTCCAGCCTTCAAAATGATTGCCCCCTTTCCTCTAAACTACCACTTACCCTCATTATTTCCTAATAATGGAAGGTCTTCTCATTAATCAGTCTCATCTTTAATCCTGCTATTTCTATCTAATCCGCCCACCATTCACAACCGACTTTCATGGAGTCCTTTGGGAAATTTCTGATTGCTCTAGACCCCAAAGGTAGGCTATTACCTATATTTCTTTGAAAAGCAAAATCATTACTGTACCATTTTCACACTCATTATGGCAAAAAAATCTTCAAAACCAATGGTGCCAATTCCGTTTTTGTCAATGTCAGCTATCATTTTTTTAATTTCTTCTTTCTTTGGTTCAAATCCTAAGGCCCGCATGGCAATCTGGAATAAGAAGCAAATGCATTACAACATGGCAAGATCTCATTCCTATCTTCTTAGTGACCTAAGAAGGACTAGTTACTCTCTTTTCCCCCTGGCTAGGCAAAACGGTGGTGGTTGGAACACACCCAACTGTTCTGAAAGAGTGAGATACAGCAGTCTGTTTCTGTTACGATAAACAGCCTAGCTTTGAAGATAAACAAGCGGCCATCTAGCTGAGAAGCAACAAAGTCCACATGGAAGAAGCACACCAGCCTCTGTGATTATGAGGTATCGATGGGATCAGCTATCAAAGACCCAGAACAAAAATTCATATACTCAAAGGCCATCTGTAGACAATTGGACATCCCGTTACAGAAGGGTCACAAGGAAGAGATGAGCCAGTCAGGGCGCAGTATAGCACCGATGAAACATACAACTTTCCTCTAGTTCTTTAATGCTTCCTCCACCTCACTATCATGGCCCCACTTTCACCTTACAAATCTGACTAGATGAGAGCATGTATACAGGTACAAATAAGAGTTGGAAACACAGGGAATCCAGGACAGATAAATCCCTCAGGACCAAGAAGGAGGGGAAGGGGAATGTGGGGGGAGAAAGTGGGAGCCGATCACAATGATCTACATATAACCCCCTCCCAGCGGGGCAGACAACAGAGAAGTAGTTGAAGGAAGACATCAGTGTAAGACATGAAAAAATAATAATAATTTATAAATAAATTATAAATTAAGGGTTCAGGGGGAGGGGAGGGGGAAATGAGGAGGTGATACCAAGGGCTCAAATAGAAAGAAAATGTTTTTAAAATGATGGCAACATATGTACAAATGTGCTTGACACAATGGATGGATGGATGGATTGTGGTAAGAGCTGTAGGAGCCCCCAATAAAATGATTTTTTTAAAAAAACAAAACCAGCTAGGATACCCAAAGGTGCAACTCTACTCTATGGTCACTCTGAGATGGTAGTTATTCTACAGCACTGGGTTGGGTTGAGTTTGGTATCACATGTGTTTACTCCTGGGCTTGGCCTTGTTTCTCTCCTCATTTAAAAAACAAATTGCAAATGCTTAACAATTTCCAGGGCAAGTGTATGCAGAGAATAGACCTTATATCAAGCTTTCTGAAAGCTACTGGGAAATAAAAGATTGGCACCAATAAATATGGCTTTTTAAATGTTTTAGAATTAGAAGTCACTTGAGAACCTTCAATTCTTTCACATCTATGGTTCCAGACCCATCAACATCAAACAAATCAAAGGCTTCTTTAATTTCTTGCTTTTGGGTGTCATTCAATTCAACTTTTGCTGCTCTTTTCTTCCAATGCTCTGCACTTGGGTGGTAGCTGGATGCCTGTAACAAAGACACATGGGGATGAAAGGGAAGCTACACCACTGGAAGAGTAACGAGAACTAGATCAATTTATGTCACACAAATTAGGTCAGAAGGCAAGCACATTCAAGTATCCTTTCTTATTAATTAATGAATTTCAACAACGTCCCTTCCTTGCTAACATGTGTTTATACTTATGAATGTCTTCAGAGAAAACATTTGCACTTAGTTTTTTTTCTTAAAATTGAGTGATAAAATTGATGGGAGTCCAAGAAGGCAGCTGGAAAACCAAGTGGATGGTGTTTGGTGGGAACTTGGGATTTACTTGGTTACCATGAAAAGCCGCTGCTTCAACACTTTCCCTTCTTCTGCACCTCCAAGTCTTACAACAAACTTTCATATTTTGAAGGCTATGCTTGGTTGGAACATGGTATCCTTTTGAAGTCCTAACAAAATATACGTGGATTTATTTAATAATTACATTTTCACAGATGAGTGATTTCTGAAATTATTTTATTGGCATTGGGGGTCTTAAACCCGATAGCCCCCAAAGTGAAAAACCTTATACAGAGGCCGATTTATTCCCTGTTGACAATGGAGTAAATGAGTCACTGGTTTGTCTGTCACTAAATATTTAAATTGGGTTCAGTCTGTTGTTCTAAGTCTACAGGAGCACAAACCGTGTAAGCAATGCTCTTTAGACTCTAAAAGCAGAGTGTCCACTGCATGCGATTGGCTTCCGTGCTCTTTGGTGCCTTTCACTCAATTCCACGTCATGGCAACTCCGTGGAAAACAGCAGGAGACACTGGCTGGTCCTGAGGCATCCTCACGGCTATGATGTTTTCAGTCACTGCTGCAGCCACTATGCCACTCCATCTCCTTGCAGGGCCTTGCTCAGGTTTCACTGACCCTTTACTTTGCCACATCCTTTTCTTCTGATAATCGTGTCCTAAGTCTCGCCATCCTCGCTTCGAAAGAGCATTCTGGCCATATTTCTGCCAAGACAGATTTGTTCGTTCTTTGGGAATTCTAATGTACTTCCAGTATTCTTGACCAACAGCACAAGCCAAATGCACGGATTCTTCCCCTGTCATCCTCACTCACATTCCAGATTTGAAAGCTGGAATGTAAGATGGTTGACAATACCATGGCTTGGCTCAGATGCAAGCCGATTCTTCAGAGTGACATCTTTGTTCTTCAACATCCTCAAGAGATGTTTGTGCAACAAGTTTGCCCAATGCAATACATCCTTCGATTTCTTGACCGCTGCTTCTATGAGTATTGACTGAGCATCCAAGCAAACTGAAATCGTTCACAACTTCAACCTTGTCTCCTTATCAGTGTTGCCTATTGGGCCAGTTGGAGGAATTATTGTTTTCTTTACATTGAGTTGTAACTCATACTGAAGGCTGCAGTCTTTGATCTTTATCAGCAAGTGTTTCACGTCCTCTTGGCTTTCAGCAAGTGAGGCTGTGTTATCTACTTGGTTAACAAGTCTTCCTCCAATCCTGATGCTTCATTCTTCATGATAATATTCCAATTTCTTGGATTATTTGCTTAAATAATTGGATTATCTGATTAAGTAAGTATTCCTTTAAAAAACAGATCCAAACTCACTGTCAAGGAGTCAATGCTGACTCATAACGACACCCTATTGGTTTCCCCAGACTTTAACTGCTTATGGAGTAGAAAGGCCAGTCTTTCTCCAGCGGAGCTGCTGGTGGTCTCGAACTGCTGACCAGGCGTATCGCACCCCAACCCTTAAACCCTACACCATCAAGCCCCTGATAAATATTCCCTTAGGGATAATTAAAAATAATTTAGAGAAGACATGATCTCCGTATTTCTCATGATTCAATTTGGACCTAACATTCTGGGAAATTACTTAAAAAATAAAACTTCTGAAAGATGAATCCTGGTTCCATCAGAAATGCAGGTGAACTCCAACGAAGGAATGGGCCTTCCAGAGGTGAAATCGTCTTTGCAAACGACGTCAGTGAGCACTACCCTGGGGCAAACCTTTCAAAGAAAAGGAAAAGAGATCCACGACTGCTACCGGACCGTCCGAAGCAGGAGCCAGCTACCTAGCCTGACACAAAGAAATGTTAGGGAAGAGGTTGGGAAATCTCCATCAGAGAACCGCTTTTCTTCCCCTGGACGCGGGGACAAAGTGCTTCTTTTTAGCAACCTACGGAGAGTTTTACTAAGAACGCCAGTGGATCTCAAAACGGGGATGGATCAGACAGCTCTTAAATTAAATTCAATCCTCCCCCGTCGCCCCGTCCCCACCTGCCTTGGGGAGAAATGTTAGCCAGTCGTAGCAATCCCTCCAAGCCTCGCACTCACCATCACCCCAGCAACGCCCCCGGGCCCGCCTCAAAGCACAGCGAGCCCGCAGCCTAACCGAACGCCCCCGCAGCAAAGCCAGGACTGAGACCGCTTCAACGGGTCTCCTGCGCGGCCCCGCCCACTCAGGCCCCTTACTGATTGACAACCACCAGGTCTAGTAGACAAAAAGGAAGCAGGCTCTGGGCCCGGCCCCTCGGTCTGCTTTCCACCAATCGCGTGACACGCCCGCCTTCGCCAAGCGGAACTTTCCTTTCTGGCGTTGCCTTTCTGTTTCTAAGCGACCAGGCCCGCCGACTCGGCCGGATTGCCCCTCCCCTCGCACATGCGCAAACTGCGGCCGGGAACGGTCTGCAGTTCCCCAGGCAGAACCGACTCCAGCCCGGAACGCGGTGGGGAAAGGAGCGCGGCCGGTGGCGCGGGGCTTCCACCTCCATTACCGGCAAAGGCTCGGGGGAGACGTGGAGAGAAGAGGAGCTCTCGTTGGCCTTTCTGAGTTCTTAGAGCTGGGGTAAGGATTAGCACCTCCGGCCTGCGTGGTTTAGGTGAAGTGGCTCAGTCTTGTCTCTGGGCTGGGATTAGTAGGGGCGAATGGGGGCTACCCCTTTTCCTGCACCCTACCTATCCTGGGCTGCTACTGACTGCAAGGTCCTATACAGCGTTGCAGCCTCAGAAACCCACAGGGACAGTTCGACTCTGTTCTCTAAGGTCGCTATGCGTCAGAATCAACTCTGTAGCTGTGAGGTTGTGTGTGTGTGTGTGTGTGTGTGT